CGATGCCTGCCCGGCTCCTGCTGGCCACACCAGTGCTGATACAGGCCAGGACGCTGGTGGCCTTCTTGGCCACCTGGGCACACTGCCGGCTCATGTTCAGCCGGCTGTCGACCAGCACCCCCAGGTCCTTTTCTGCCGGGCAGAAATCCTGCAGAGAAACCGGGGCAGGGACCGCTGGCAACGCCAACAAGGGGGTCACCTGCAGCGGGGGCTTCTTCAAGCCCAAACGCCGCTTGGAGCAAACAATGTCCCTGCCAAGAAGTGACTTTTGTCATGCCCGTGCTGCAAAACACCATCTCAAGCGGGGCTCCGGCGCAGGGTTGAGCCCCGAGAGCTGTGATGGGAGGACGGGGGTACCGCTGGGGCCCAGCTCGGCCCCGGGGGGGCTGCGCACAGCTTTCGGCAAGCGCATCGGGCCATCGGTCCTCGCAGTTGTCTCGTGGGAGTTCCCGGGCGCGGCGTTACGCTCTCGCAGTCTCCCACCCGCAGCGAGATTTCTGCTGAGTTTGCGTTTTAGGAGCAGTGTTGCACGCAAGCGTCCGGTGTCCTTTTTCTTTGAATGGAAACAAGTCTGTAAAAAAGCCGACTGGCAGAGAGGGGAAAGGAGGGAAGGAGAGTGTATTGCTATTGAAGGGAATTTATTCGCAGCTCCTTTTCTGCTGCACACAAATAAGCCAGAACCCGTAGCAAATGAGCTCCCGGAGTGCCAGGAGAAACCCGTCATCTACACTTTTTATTTTCTACAGATGGCCCGTCATACCTGCACATCAAAGGGCTAAAAAAAGAGAAAAGAAAAAAAAAAAGCCAAGAAAGGGCTTTATGAGACAGAAGAGCCCATTTCCATTCAAAATGCAAACCAGTAACTCTCCCCAAAAGTACATTTTCTTCAGGAAAACCAAGACCTTTGAGGACCTCTTCTCTTTTGGTTTACCTCCTCCTTGTGGCAGCTCGCTGGTGGGAACCCGTGTCAATATGGCTTTAATTGGTACGGTTACTTTGATTAGGACGTGATTTTTAATTTTAACCAAGCAGTTACAGAAACACAGCACCTACAGCAGGGGCTGCACTATCGAGAATAAAGAGGTTTTTATGCGGCCAGTGCATATTTTCCTTGTTGTGTAGGAATCGGGAATAAACTCTGCTTCAACCCCAGCAGACTTGCTAAAGCAGCAGAGACCTCGGAGCCCGCCTGGACAAGGCTGGAGGTAAAGTCGAGCTGATCCTCGTTCCTTCCCTGTTTGGGATGCTGCAACCATGGATCTCTGATTTGTTGCCATCCTAAAAGGTCTGGCTATCGCAGGATTGTGCGTGTTGGAGAACAAAACGTCCATCGCTGCTAAAAGGAAAAACAATAACCGTGACAGTGTTAACCAGAATGTAAATACAGCCAAATTATGGATGTAGAAGTGTGAAACCGTGGAGAAAGATGATAATGGAATTATATATCAATGCTCAGCACAACTGTAAAAACTAATGTTTTATACATGTGTAACGTTAAATTAATTCATTCCAGTCCTTTCAGGCGAAGGTACATTAACTGCTCCATCTCGGCATAATCATATTACCTCCACAGGCTCTCTATATATCATGCTTCCAGGGTGGTAATCGCCATTTGATTAATTACAGGGAATTCGGAGGCATTACCACGATTCCTTACGCAGCAGTGCAAGGCGAGTCCCCTCATCCCTCCGGGCTGACCTGCTGTCCGCGCCAGCCCACCCTCACGTCGCTGCCCGAGCACCGTCCCAGGCTGCACCCGGCGGGCGCTTCCGAAGCTCAGTGCTTGGCAGCGGGGATCACGCCTGGACAGACTGTTCCCTGGCAAGCTCACATGGTGGGGAGGACACAAAAACTGACAGCACCTCATTCCCAGCCTTGGAAGAAGTCTAAACATAGGCCTAACTTGCCCTTTTCTTTGCAGAGTTAGCCAAGAAACGCCAACAGCCGTACCATGGCTCCTGGTGATGTCAAGGATGTCCTTGATGGTGCCACTGCAAACTGCAGATTATTCCCCATCGCTCCAGGCGAGGAAGCTGATGGAGGGACTGTGAACAGCACGTGGCCCTTATAAAAGAAAAGGCTCTGGCAGCGGAGTCCCCAAACCAAGGCAGAACCCTTCCCACTGGTACATGAGTTGAAATGGTGGCGAGCAGCATCTCCGAAGGGTTGCGAGATGCCTATGGTATAGATGCTCCTCCTACAAGCACCCTTCGTGTTGCTTTTGATCCCTCCGGGCACAATAACGATCACTCGGCTCCTTCATCTTCATCCCCCGGTTTTGCTGACTGTACAGATCCTTGGTCTCTCAACCAAGCCGTTTCTGCTGGCGTTCCCTGATTAAAAACTACTTACCAGGCTGGGGCCACCCTGCCTGGGTGGCTGTAGCTTTCTGAAGGAGGGCAGACGGGCACGGGATGGCTCCCTGCGAGCGTCTCACTCGGGATCCTGCTACCTGGACGGAGAGCCTCGGCCGGCTGACACCACGGCCGGCTGTCACCACGGCCTTCCGTCTCTCCCACAGCGACCGCCGCTGCTGCTCCCTGAGAAGGGTAATCACGAGCCCGACTTGGAACAGCAAACAAAAAATCTCACGCAATAGATTTTAACAGTGACTTAAATTAAAAAAAAAAAAAAGAAAAAGAAAAAAAGGCACAACTACTTATGTAACTGAGCTTTATTTAGAATCTTTGAAGTCATAAAATGTCTCATTTTACTGATATACATAAACATACACAATCAGGAGGTTTAATTGCTTTTTCCCTTGCACAGAAATAAAGTTTTAAAGAAACCAGAACACCTCAACCCAGACAAGCGTAATGCAAATTTAATTATCTAACTTGGTCCTGTACACACAGCACACGCTTCTCCGCATGGTCACTGGTTTATCAATTAGTTGCAATATAATTTTTGGCAGTAATAGATTCAACACGCAAAGTGCAAATTACAAGAAGCAGAAAACGTTCTCTCTCATTCTGAGCAACAAGAAGTGAAAAATATCTCAGCCCATAAATTCTATTCTTTATGTATATGAACAGTATGTGCATAATAAGCTAATAAATAGCTGTGTAAAACTTCATAGATTAAATGTGGCAACATCTTGAAGTAGGAATGCAATGGTTATAAAAACATAATCAGACAGAGGAATCATTACCTTGTGTTTATAAATTCCATACACTATTTCTGGGGGTACCTCTTCCCATTTCACCTACCCACCTTTAACTTCTGCATACCTTGGATACTTTTGCAACCAAAGGCAGTTTGTTAAAAATTCTCCAATTTGCTACATCTGGACATATTTCTGTGCGTCTACAATCAAGGTTCCACTAACACTTCACCTGGCAACTCAGTGGGAATCCACTGAAAACGGGAAGTCTCTTCCAGGCACTGTTAACGGAATACCCACTAATGGGTCCAGCAGGCTAAATGCACTTGGTGATTACCTAAAGTTAAAGAAAATTTTCAATGAAATAAGGAAAACCGTTTCAAAAAGAGCTAATCACAGCTTTCTTGTTTCAGTGTAGTTCATCTCGCTTCAGCACCTGTGCTTTTATGTGAAATGGGAGAATAGTCGCTCTAGCTAAAACATACTCAACAACAGCACCTTTAACACAAACCCTGCACTACTCAGTTATACTACAGATTTTGAATTTTCTTTCCATTTAGTCCTAGGCATTTTTCACATAAAATAAGTAGTCAATTTTGACAGCACCCCCCCTTCATTTCTCCCAGCTACATCATCGCTATAAATTATACCAAATAGTCCAAATCAGACTGGGCTGCATCCTCTAAAACCCTACTGTTCCTACGGATAGGAAGATTAAACCACAATGACTTGCATTGCCATTAATCTGCCTGCCAAATTAATTTACTAAATCACTAAGGCTACGGTCATATAACCACTGCAGGAATAGCTGCGACACGTAACGAAGTTGCTGACTTTTGGCTGAACAACCCTGCACCCCACCTCCACCACGCAGAGCGGGACAGCCTTGGGAAGGCTCCTCGTGGCCTTCAGCACGCTCTCGTCTGGCTTAGCTTAAACCCAAAAAATAGTCGGTTGCTTCAACTGAGCCATCCGACTCGCCGGAGGGGGCTGAGGAACCCCCTTCTGCATGCTCTGCCCTGGGGAGGACAGGCAGGGCCGCCAGCCCCGGCAGGACATAGGCTTAAACGGCCGCAGCAGTCTTCTGCGGCGACCATCTCAGCACCGCCTGGTATTATCCAAAATTGAACTCTGGCAGCCCCGAGGGAGAAGCATCCTCTGTGATCCGTGAAAGCCTCTTCCTGCACTATCTGATCCTGGGGAGACTCTTGGAAATGTAAAATGGTTTGCTGGTTCGGATTAACGTCATCTATCCTTAAAGACAACGTGCAGAGGGACTGCTCACCATCATCACTCGAATTACAGGATCACATTGCCGAAGCAAACTTTTGTCTTCATTAAAGTTTCAGGATGAACAATTATGCTGCAACTTGGCACAACAACAACTGCCTTTGTATGCAACATGCCTGGCATATATCAGCACATTTCTTCTTCTTTAAAAACATAATTAGAATAGAACGAGATAGGTTGTTGTTCATGCTGCCTAAATATCTGAAAAGGCTCAAACATTCAAAAGCCTAAAAAAAATAAATTTCCCTCTCCTCTAGTTTATTTTTCATGCTAAAGGCTGCAAATTGACACATCACAGTAATTACCTCTGACTAACTTCCATAGACCTACCCAAAGAGATAAACATGAGAAGTTCACATTTGACTATCAGACTTACTGTGCCGAGCACAAATAATTTCCCAGAGGAGAATTTGATATTTCATCATTTGGAACAGTGGTAATTTAATTACATTGCTAATGTTTTCTGGCATACTTGAAAGGACAATTAGCATAAGTAAATCATGAGTGAGATGACAAGTCACTCGGCATTTATTTTTGCTCATCAGATGAGATCAGTTGATGATCTAAATTCTCTTTTGTGTGCGAACTGATTCCAGTTTCAGCAGTTGTAACTGGGGTTCAGATTAGTGGGGATAAACCGACGTATAAAGAAAGTTAAATGGATATTGTTCTTTGAAGTTTCTTAATTAAACTTGTCCAGAGAAACCTCAAAAGCTACCAGAAATAGGGGAGGGTGGGGAGAAAGGCTGATATATGTGGAAGGCTAAATGAAGCTCGAGATGCACACTACCCTTTCTGGCAATGTGGTGAATACGGATTCATTTTTGCCAGGGTTTGCTTTACATCTCGCTCAGGGCTGAACAGTATTATTACAGCTCTACTGATGTTCTAAAATAATTGTATTTATCTCCGCAAGCACAATGACATTCACGATAACACCGTTAATGTTACAGTTCCTTTCTGGCGCTTCAGAATAGCTACAGCTTGCTCATGGGTAACACCTTCCAAAGCTTCCCCATTAACTGCTAAAATCTGATCGCCACGCTTCAGTCTGCCGTCGTCCGCAGCTGCTCCCTGCAAACGGCAAAGCGATTCGTTAGCGGCTGGTAGCATGGAGCCCTCCCGTCTCTCACAATGCTGATGGATGAAATGAGGAGGGATGCACTGGAAAGCCCACCGTCACTGGGTGGGGAACACGGGAAATGACAGTGCTGAAGTCTCCCTGAGCGCTTCAACCATTGCCCATCGCTCGCCCCGCTTACCCAACCCTGTAAGGTCCGGGGCAGCACGGGCGGGTGATGATCCCCAGGAAGAAGAGGATCGGCTCATCCCTGAAAAAACTGCAGTGTAAAGACTGGTTCTGGCTTTTGTGATTATGGGGAGGCTTGTTAAAGGAGCATTGAGATGTACTCCGCACCGAGCGCTGAGAAAAGGGTTAAAATGTGGGGAGGGAGAGGGACGCAGAGCTCATGCAGCAGAACAGCCTGGGCACTGCCCCAGGCCCTGGATGGAGCTGGGCTCCATTGAAGGTTCTGAGAAGCTCCCACAAAGCTTGAGAAACGGCTGTTCTCCTCCAGAGGCCTCAGGGCAGCTCTTTTATCTAAATCCTGAGCCCTGCCCTGCCCTAAGGTCGGCTGGTGGTTCCGCTTCTCCTCCACGGCCAGTGACTGCAGTGTATTCCAGCTTCGATTTAAGGTTTCTCAGCTGTGCTCACATCTAGAAACTCGTAAATCTAAGCATCTGTTTAAAGACACAGCATCTTCCCATGTCAATAATTGAACACTGTAAAAGACCAGATATTTGTGGCTTGAGCCCCGGAATTGCAGAAGCAGAGGAGACATGACTTCTCCACTTTCAGATGAGGTTTTCTTAATTATGTCATCTACCCTGCCAGAAGCGCTGACATGACTGACAGCAAATAGGCACAGGACAAAAAACTGTGCGCGACTGACTTCAAGGTTACTTTATGTAAAGCATTCCTAATTCCCACCGTTTTTCTCCACCCCCCTACCCCCCCATTTCCAGAAATCCCTTCAGGTGGCCATGCCATCTTGCTGGCCCATGTTGAGCGCACTGCCAGCAGAGGATGGGTGGGAAGAGGGGCACTTCTCCCTCTGCACCAGTGGCCATTCTGGGTCCATCTGCCTTGAGGCTGTGCTCTACTGTCTTTTGTCCTCAGCCTCGGTCGCCAGAGCCACTGCTGCACCTGGCTGGGACCCCCAAGTCCCCCTCTGACACTCAGGGTTGGGGTCAGAGATGGGCTGAGACAGCCGTGAGCGGCTCCCGCACATAGGAGCGGAGTACTCACGGAGAGGCATGAGAGAGAAGCTGGAAGCAAGGGAGAATAACTAAAGCCAGGACCAATGTGTAAGCCGGTCCATCACCGAGCCACAAGGTATGGCGTTTTCATCTTTCGGTATTTTTTGTCATTGAGGTGACTGAGCACAGGACCTTATTGCTGGTTTTGCAGCTGAAGCTCAGCCACAAAGATACAGCACCTCTGCAACTATCTCCTCTCCTGTACAGTGGGAAAAGCGATGCCTCCATATCTCTTGGAAGGCACTTTGAGGTTTGCAGATATAAATCTGCCTTATAAATATTTTAGCGTATAAAAGTAAATTTCCCAAGTACACGGAGCAATTTTGCTGAGATAAAGCATCTTGTTTCAGCCATCAGTAACGTGAAATATAAACTGAGAAGGCGGCTGTGAGTTCTGGGGCCACTTGCTCACATTGATGTACTTAGACAGTACATTTTGCTTTCTACTACATATTATCCAAGCCGAATCTTAGGTTTATTTTTAAAGTTAATACAGAAAAAGGGAGAAAACAAAAAAAAAAGATACCTTGGCAAATATAGTCTTGACATAAATGGGCAGGTCTCCATGGGGACTTCCATACCCCCCTACAATACTAAATCCCAGTCCATCAGAGCCTTTCTCCAAAGTAATAATCTTAGGCTGAGGTGCTCTGAAAACACAATAAATATAACTTAGAATAGCAATGTCTGCCTCTGGGGACTTTATGCAGAAGGAACACTTACAGAGATATTTATCTGTCGGGAAGTTTTTCATACAGTCACGAACCATGACTCTTGTCCTTGCGCTGATATACACTCCTGCGCAGCCCAGAGTTCAAACACTGTTCAGTGTACTTCAACTCCTCGCTTTGAAAATACTTATTTTTAATAAGAGCTCAGCTCAACAAGAGCACTTATGTCTGATGCAGAAGTGAGATTCCCCTCATCTGCAGTCGCTGCACGTACGTAAAGGAGAGTTTGCTTTCTCACCGGCCAAGCTGTCGTCTTAGTCTGCCTCAGTGGCAACTGCAACAATTTCCTCACAGCAAAATTTTACTTTATGACTTCAGAGGAATGAGTCTAAGAGACAGGGTGCAGTCAGGAACACTTGTGTTTATAGTCTCAGCTCTACTGCAGGCGTTTTGGTCTGTTTTCTAACAACCTATATTTGACCTACATCCCTGTGCCTCGTAACTCCCGAGAGCCCCTCACTCATTGGCATTGCTTAGACCCTGAACTGCTCTTTAGGGGTGTCTACATTGAGCAAAGGAAGATTTTTGGTGGAATTTAGACCACTCATATGCATATCTCCACCTCAAATTTGAAAAATAATTTCTACGTGTTTAGAAAAAATTACTGTGGACAAAAGCTGTTTGGCATCTTCCACCTTTCTATAAAGGTGTAGCCTATGATGACTAATATCGAGCCATTTCTTTAGGACAGAACGAATGCATATGCCTACCCAATTTGCTTCATATTTTCACATTCAAATTTCCTTACTGTTTTGATAGGAAAAGAGAATACAAATCCTTTTGTGAAGTAAGCAATTCTCCTTTGAGAGCAGGAATAAAAACGGTATCTCACATTGCGAGACTAGAGAATGCAGCATAAATAGCTTAACTTTTATACTAAAATCCTCCTGAGGTAGGGCAGCAACTTGCATCTCAGCTTCTTAAAATAAATATAATGAATTAAAGAATGAAAATGAAGAACATAACGAACCTAACGAACCAAAATGAAAATCAAGTGAATTTCAAAATGGTAACTGCTATGCTATAAGCTGCCCTAAAAAGCACACGATGGAGAATGATGCATGGCCGTGGGAGGGCTAGATCTCTAACTTCCATCACCATACAGAAATGATGTAAGTAGAAAATTTCTTAATCAGACTTTTTGAAATTGTGAAGCTAAAAAGATTCAAAGACAAAGTTAGTTCTGGGACATGTTTTGAAAGTTTTCTTTCTGATATCAGTCTTTTTAACACCTCTTGCCTTAGTCTACCAGTGACAAATTATTTCGAATTGCTACAGTCATAACTCCTTTGAGACAAGGAAGCCAAACAGACAAGGGCAGAACTAGCACGTCAGCATAACACATTACAGAATCACAGAATCATTAAGGTTGGAAGAGACCTTCAAGATCGTCAAGTCCAACCGTTAACCCAACACCACCATGCCCACTAAACCATGTCCCGAAGTGACAAAAGCAGAAAAGAAAGCAGATAAATTTACTTTTAAAACGTCCAGAACTAGTGCTTGGAAACACACTTTGTTCTTATTTACTCAAGCTATTTCTGACACCAGGAGAAGATGGACACGAGTCCATCATCAGCTTGGAGAAGGTCACAGGTACCATTTTAAAGGTGATGGAAAATTACAGAGAAAAGCAATGGGAGAGACCTCCTTCACCAGCCTAGGCTTTTCCCTTGCATGGGGCATAGAAATCCACCTCAGTTATGCAGACTCAGTACAAACTTACTCGGGATCTTCAGAAGGATGCTCAGAAGACGAGTTAAGGTTGCATCCCGCAGACATGCTCTCCAGCTGGGTAGCAATGGCACTGATGTTGGTATCAGCCACAACCTAAACAGAAGGACACGATGAAGTACTATGGGTGTTCACTTAATAGCAAAGACACTTTGGCTAATCATGTAGAAAATAGCCGATGCACTAGGAAAGTCAGTTGTTGATATTTTTTTCAAGCAAATTTGAATACAAGTCCCGCGGTCTTAAATTTCCTACTCATTCAATACTTTCAAATAATGGATTCTGGAGGTTAAACGCAAACTTTGCTCTGAGGCTTTCTCGTGCCTTTACATGACTATCGCTCAGATGCTGAGCAGAGGAGAACAGTCTTTCTGGATAATCCAGAGAAAGAGGTTACTTTGTCAAGCAAACGGGTACGTCTCAGAGTCAAAACAAGGTGTCCAGGATTGGGCTTGAAAGTAGAGGTCTCCCACAGAAAGCACCTTAGCCTGTAATAAAATACAGAGACCCAAGGGTCTGCTGGACTATGGGGCAAAGGCCCTGAAATACCTCAGATTGGTTTGTTTGCTGAGTAGGGAAGAAATCAATCCTTGGTTTCAACTTTTCTGCAAATTCCAGCATGAATCTAACAAACTGGATTCTTAAACTTCTCAGTTCTGGCTCCTGTATTATTCTGAAACCACCATGAATTACCACCACACAGTAATTAATAGAGTTGATGACATTTTGACAGGTTGCGCGGCAGCAAACTTGTGCAGGCTTTTTAAAGCAACCATATCAATGTTGTATAGGTCAGGTACAAATACGACTACGGCTGCATTGAGAAAACAGTTACTTGCACGCGGAGGTCCAGCGTTTGCCGTTCACAGTGGTTTAGCCTCGTAAGGATAAAAGCTTGTAGCTGGCAGCCCCAGTGGGATTTATTAAACACAAAGTGTCAATGCCCACTCTAGCTTTTTTCTTTCTTTTTAACCTTTCATTGCGTGCTCATTTTCTATTCTTTGCTATTTTCTAGAAAATATTTGAGGAAACCACTAAGAAGTGTTTTGGATTTTAAATATTCACAGCTGAAAGGGCATCAATTTCCTCACAACTACATGCTGTGGTTATCCCTTAACTCCATCTCCTTCTGATGAGATATTCTTCTCTGCTTGACGTTTACTGTACGGCGCAGGAGTTCAGCTCAAGAGACGGTGAGAAATAGCCAGTAAGTATATTTTCAATATTTCCTCTAGCTATCTATGGGCTTATTTTATCAAAATTAACAGGTACTCTTTCCACTCCTTGATGTGAACATGGTTTAAGGGAAACATATCTTTTCTGAATAAAAAAATCCATTATATAAATCCCCCGTTTTAAATGAATGCTCACAATTCTTCCACAACAGTATTCCCTTCTTTCTAATCACTTGGAGCCAAGAGGGTGGTAGCATTTTCTAGGAAGGAAGATTAGTTCTCATGCAAATTTTGCATCCCAGGACTCAGGTTCTCAGATGCCCTAAATGAAGGGGTCCGGCAGATGAGATTGCTGGCTGAGCCAGGTGCAGCTAAGACACCATTAAGTTTTTCTTTCTGTTGCAGTAGGGGGAAGAGTGCCAGCCAGAATTTGTCATATTTTGTTGTTAAATAAAATGAGGGCAAAATAAATCTATATTTAAAAATCTTCAGTTGGCAGTAAGAACGTATCAGAGTTCAACAACCTTGTAAAAAAGCTTCCCCTTATCTCATTACTACACCTGCAGAAAAGAAATTAAATTAAACCAAAGCATCAAAACAGCCGAAAGGGATGATTGTTCCCCTGAGACCCTAATCTCCCATTTGCAAACAGCATTTGCAAACTCCTTTACCATCCTTCCCAGGACGTACTGATAATAAGCCTTTCCACACCACTGAACGCAATTATCTGACCTTTCAAAGCGGTTCGCCATGAAGTGGTCTAACCTGATAATAAATAGAATTACTTAATGACACATCAGTCATGATTATCACAGCGATAGGATTGTTCCATTCAGATTGTTTTAATAAAAAAAAACGCAGTCCGGTGATTGAGAAGTACCGGTGGTTCGCGTGTCAGGTAACTGTACCACCACGCTTACGGCAGGGCTTTGACACTGCTCCCTGCCGGTATTAAAATATAACATCTCACCTTCACATAACAGATTTTTAATAGAGGAAAATAGATTCTACTCTATCAGAATAAACCTGTATCATCTGTAAAAAGTATTAAGCCCATTTTAAGCTAGACAGCAAAAATGTGGAAGAAAAACCATTAACTGACAAACCCAAAGACATTTCTAGAAGAACCTCTTTGTTTATGCGAGCGACCAACTAACAGTGTGCTTCATCAGGAATATTTTTAAATACATGATGAGGTGGAATACGCCGTATTACAGCTTTCAGGATTAGCAATTTTGTGTTCTGCAGCAAGCTTTCATTTTCTATTCAGGGAATACTGTTGACATGAAAAGTGAAATTACTCAACGTTAGTAACAATATGATAACTATAATTTAACAGAAAATCCTCAGCTGTTGTATATCTGTGTATTTCCTTTGACTTCAGTGGAACTACACAAATACATCATCTGCTCTGGAACTGGCTCATCACTTACCAGGCCAGCAGTTCACGGACAGACAAATCAAGGAATAAGCAAGTCTAAAACTAAGTTTATTATAATTTCATTTCCTTGGTTTTTTATATTCCCCCCTCCCCTTTTTAATAGTCATATTTGTGTTGTAATGCAAACAAAAAGTTTATGCAAAATCTCTCAAGATGCTTTCCAATCTAATATGCTGTGATGATAAAGAAAATTAGAGTAGATTTTAGTGGTACATCTTAAACTTGTTTTCCAATAGTTACAATAATTCTGCAAATAAGTAGTATTTTGATTTCTCTCTGGCAAGCATTTTTCCAATTTCTTTGTGTAAACACAAAAATAAAGATGAATATACTGGCAAGCAGCAATTAGAATCCAAGGAGCAGAACATGTCTTCCTTTTAGCTAGCATATAAAGGCGGTGGTGATGACACTGTTTTCTCTCTCTCGAGTGTTATTATTCATTACCTGTAGAATAATCAGTTCTAGGCAGCACTGTCTTAATGATGATACTATCATTTTTACTAAATGCTGCCAACGTTTCTTTCTTCTCCCCCTTTCAAGAACAAGGAAATTAGCACTGTGGGCAGTTTGGTCACAGTCTGGCTACACGCACATGCACATACACACACACTTAATTTCTTGTTCCTAGTTAATTTCAAATTAAAAAAAAACAACTTGGAAGCTTGTTGATTTATCATGTGTAGCAACAAGTTATTTTGTTCTCTTTGTTATGCTTTTATATAATCATGCTCACAGCCTGTATGAGTGGCAATGAAGAATTTTTGAATGAAAATTATTTCTTGCTTTCATTCTGTGTAATTCCCATCAGCAAGCACCCTGCAATTCTGTGATGCCTCGTGCCAGTGATGCTTAGGGTTTTTTTTTCCCTGAATGCCATTTATCTACCCTCATGCAGCTGCATGTTCAATTTATCACCGTACCTGCAGGATAATGCTCCCATAAGCATTCTTTAGTAGATTAACCGCATCTGCATGAGACAGCCCATCCAAAGGTTGCCCATTAATACTGACAATCCGATCTCCAACCTGAAAGTACAACAGTAATGGAAAATTACTAGCATTAGGGAAAATCAAAATTAAGAATGCTTACAATTCCTGGTGAACCTGGCACTGCACAGCCATAGAATCATAGAACCATGGAACCGTTTGGGTTGGAAGGGATCTTTAAAGGTCATCTAGTCCAAACCCCCTGCAATGAGCAGGGACATCTTCAACTAGACCAGGTTGCTCAGAGCGCCATCCAACCTGACCTTGAACGTATCCAAGGATGGGGCATCTACCAGCTCTCTGGACAACCTGTGCCAGTGTTTCACCACCCTCATTGGGAAAAATTTCTTCCTTATGTCTAGTCGAACATCCAACCAATTCCTCATCCACCCAACAGTCCACCCATCAAATCCATCTCTCCAATTTAGAGAAGGATGTTGTGGGGGACTGTGTCAAAGGCCTTACACGAGTCCAGACAGATGATGTCAGTAGCTCTTCCCTTGTCCACTGATGTGGTCACTCCATCATGGAAGGCCACTAGGTTGGTCAGGCAGGACTTGCCCTTGGTGAAGCCATGCTGCCTGCCTTGAATCACCTCTCTGTCCTCCATGTGCCTTAGTATAGCTCCTAGGAGGATCTGTTCCATGATCTTCCCAGGCACAGAGGTGAGGCTGACAGGTTGGTAGTTCCCAGGGTCCTCCTTGCTACCCTTTTTAAAAATGGGTGCAGTGTTTCCCTTTTGACTTTCCAATATCAGGGCTCTGGGATGCATCTCGTCGTGTCCCATAGACTTATGTATGTTCAGGTTCCTCAGGTGGTCATGAACCTGATCTTCTCTGATACTGGGAGGGACTTTGCTCCTCCAGTCCCTGTCTCATGGTCCATCCACTTGAGAGGTGTGGGAAAAGAGACTGCCAGTGAAGACTGAGGCAAAGAAGTCGTTGAGTACTGCAGCCTTCTCCTTGTCCGTTGTTACCAGTTTGCCAGTCTTGCTCATCAGGGGGTACGCTTTCTTTGACCTTCCTTTTCTGGCTGACATACCTGTAGAAGCCCTTCTTATTCTTTGCATCCCTTGTCAAGTTCAGCTCCAGCTGCACCTTGGCCCTCCTGACCTTATCCCTACAGAACCGGGCAGTGTCCCTGTACTCTTCCCAGGATCCCTGTCCCTGCTGCCACTGCCTGTGCATTTCCTTCTTGCCCTTTACTTTGACCAGCAGGTCTTGACTCGTCTGTGCCTGTCTCTTGCCTTCCTTTCCTGATTCCTTATGCCTAGGGATCAAAGCAGTCATGCTTCTCTTTTGCAGGATCCCTTTTGTAAGAATTCTGCATTGCCAATGATCATTTACCATTCTTCAGAGCAAGTACAATACAGATTTTTTTAAAAAACCAATGTGATCAGAGAAACAATTTCCATTTGCAAGCAGACAGAGTGAAATTTTCACCGCTGTTCTCCCATCCAGAAAGGATTAATTTGTGTCCATATGTGCAGACAAATTCGTATTCTTATACACTATGTATGCACATGCTGAATGCAGTATAGAAAAGCAGGCACTTCTGATATTAATCTAATTAACCTAGGCAATTTCTTCTTCTTATACATGAAAATGATCTTGACCCTGGCACTTCGTGCTATTGTGTAATTCTATTAGAGACATGGCATGAATGTAGCAGCATGTAAAAATGAATCTCATGGGCCAATGCAATCCTATCTGCATAATAAGTTCCTTTCAATACTAATGATTCCTTGAAACTCTCCAAATCTGGGAAGTGTTCATCACGGTCGTTCCTGGAAACCCACATCTCGTGTAGGTCTGATACAGGTGCTTTATTTTGGCATTTCTTTATAAGGGACTTAAGATCAAAAAACTAACTTCTGATCTAGTTTGTACCTGGTTTGAGCTCTAAATGATGCCCAGTCTGACGTCCTCAAAACATCTGCGATTTCCAGGGAGCCTACTGCTGCCCTCCCTGGGTCTGGACAAACACAGTGGTCTTTGAATGTATATGAATGCTTTTATGTTCTTTCTCTTAATATCACTTTTCCATGTGGGCAACCGTTGCCATTATCCCAAGATGCAATATAATCAAAAAGAGAAGAGAAAGGAAGGTTTGGCTTTTTTGGGGCGGGGTGGGGTAGGTGAGTTGGTTGGTTTGTTTGTTAAGAAACAGAATAGTCTATGAGACATTATCGAAGTGATGGCATGTACAGAAGTGCCTGAGCTCCTTCTCCCTGGGACACATGGCAGATGAAATAGGAAATATTGAGAGGACTCCTCTACTCACTCTGAGTCTTTGGGTACGTGCAGCCACACCACTGGCTTGAATCATAGCAATGAAGATGGGGATATCTCCTAATGGACTTCCCTTCCCTCCTGCTATACTGATGCCAAGTGCATCATTTGGTCCCTAAAACAAAACAAAAAAACCTCACATTTGCAACTGGAGCAACTTGTAGAGGTCAATGGTCAGGGTACAGCAATAGCTGACTCATTTGGTTTATGGAACAGGGAGAAAATAGATAGGTTTGACAGACACATGCATCCTCACACACCCATGTCCCACCACACAGGCTTACATCCAACAACCTACTGCAAACATCAATAATGCAATTTTAATACTGAGAAACACTACAAAAATTAACAACTTCAGTTAAAGGTGTCAGCTTTTTGAATTGATAGAAAATAACCCACTGACCCTTGTTATCTCCACAGTCCTGGGGCCCATATCTGCTCCTACTAATAAAGAAACAAACAATTAGCTTCTGTAATTAAGAGATAATATAATTAGGAGATAACACTGTCAGGTGACAATGGTCCCTTGTTGCCTAGTCAGAGTTATCACCAAGCAGAAGCGGAGCCTTCCTGTGCCAAACCAGGCAGTGCTGCTCACGTGAGGAGGACGGGATTTCTGTTTCACCCAGAGATGAATACGGATGTAATCACTCTCGCTGACGGATGCCACCGTGACGCCCATTGCAGCGCAGCCGCTGCTCACCGCAACCTATTGAATAGCCGCACTCTGCCGGCCTGAAGAAAAGCCCTATTGTGCATTTCACTCAATTAAAGATTGGCTTATTATTCATAAATCACAGTGTCCCTACCACACAGGGGACAACCTACCAGGCTGGTCTGAGACTGCTGAGGTTCCATTGATTTCCTCTTCTAATTTGTTCTGTATTAGTAAATAATAGACAGCCAGGAAGCCTGGCTGGTGCATATCTAGCCATAGGACATTTAAAAGTACTCAAAACAGGGGGAGTGCGGGGTGGGGTGGAGAAAAAAAGAGACTCTTCAAAGGAATGATTTGAACTGGGGCTAAACAGTCTAAATGCTGATGGTGTAGTCAGGTCCTGGGCTCTGCTATACCAACCTCTAATTCTACCAGCTTTAATTAAACTATTTTAAGAACCTTTCAGAAGGCAGGCAGAATTAGTTTCTTTCAAGAGTTAACGATTCTTAATAACGCATATCAGTACTTCTCACTGCCACGCACGTGTGCTTGTGCATACGTAGATATGTGTGCTATAGGTATCTGCTAGAACTATGGAAGGCAGGATCGCTGAGGTGCAGCGAGGTCTGCGGCAGCAGGAAGCCCATTCCCGGGGATGCCGAATCAGGGTATGCAGATATGCATTCTCAGTGCTGCAGGGCCCTTCAAAATAGCACGAGGAAGGCTGCCCCAAAAGCCACACGCCTCCTCCAGCGCATGCAAACTGGCAGAAGAAACGTCTTTTACTTCTGCCCACGGTCAGACATGAGCAAAGGATACCAACTTCTGACACAGGTCAGAGCGCACAAATGCGCAGGCTCTCCACAAGCTACTGCAGGTTGTAGATTTAGCACTTGCTAAATCTGCACATCGCAAACTGAGCATTGTGACATTCTCATTACAAAACAGCCCTTTATACACTCTAGAGCAACAAAGATATAAATGAAGTGGTGGCAGCTTTATTCCCTGAGAAAACTGTTTCTAATGCGAGAACCTTGCCTGTGCTAAGCCTCCGACAAGGGCGTTGGGGAATAGCAGGGCACAGGAATTCTGCACTTAAAATAGAGGAGCCATTACTCTACTAGTAGACATAAAAATAATGTCATCTGCTGGAAAGTGTTCGGGTCTTAAAATATCAGTGGTACGTCTTCTGGGAGGCTGAGTAGGAAAACCAGATTCAAGTATTGGGCTTTGCTTTTAAACCAGCACAAATATAAAGCAAATAGCACGCAGCTATTCTGACAGCCGCCCAGGTTATACCTGAGTTTCTCTGAGACACATCTGCTGAAGATCTTTTCGTGCTGACAAAATTCTGTAAGGTAGAGAGGACCGGAGCAAGCGCAGGGTGGAAGTGGCTATGGAAACTCTGTTGGCTTGCCTGTAGTTAAAAAGAAATCAAAACTTGTGAGTCAAACCCAAACGTTAACTTTAAACCAGCTCCCGCAGCATACAGGCACAGCTGTGCTCTGTGCCAACCAGACTGGAAATACCACATTGGCCACGCAAGTGCAACCCCTCCAACTTCATTTCCAAAGGGGGAACCTACCAAATTCTGTCCCCAAGTTGTGGGCACAGCCATAGTGCTGCTTGCAGTTCTACACAACTGCACTTCACTCCCTACGTGCACACCTAATGCCTCCGTTGCTCAGGTCTGCTCTAGAGGGCATAAAGAAGTAAGATTATCCTCCTCCTCTGCTTCTTCCCAGCGTGTCTCTGAACCTGAGGAGAAGGGGAGATGACGGGGGCTTGTGGGCATCTTCCCCTCAACGCACCCTGCAGGCACCTCACCCTACGCTGAGCGTGCATGAGGCACCCAGCAGGAGACGTAACAGCTCCTCTCCCACAAGATAAGGATAGCGCTTACACCCATCTTGTTACGCAGCAGTCATCTACAGGCTCTGTTACTTCAGCTGAACGCATGGCCCGATTACAAGGTCCTGTAATTGAACCTGCTCCTTTAATTTGACCAAGAACCTGCTCTTACTTCCAGATTATCATCCCAGGTGCAGGATGAGATGCCCATGAACTAAAGCTGACAAAAGGGTGAGCCTCCAAAGGTAGCTGCTCGTGCATGTTCCCAATTCTTGGCCGTCCATTTCCAGCCCTCCTTTTCTCTATCTCCACATCTGGCTCTATCTTCAGACCCTGCCCCTCGAGGAAACATCATTATCCGTTTAGGAAATGTGTCTGAACAACAGGTTTCACCGAGGGCCAGACCTTTTCAACTAAGCTGCCTTATACAGAACAAAGATCTGGTCTATACTTCTCCATCCAGAGCAGAGCTTTCTCCCTCTAAATGCATTAGGCGGTGAATCAAAAGCTCTGGCAGCATTTATCTTAACTGACCAGCGTGCAGCTGTCAGTGATGAACAACAGGCAGAGCATAATTTCCACCTCTAGTTGCCAATTCATGGGTCAGTTAACATAATTTGCAATGCGCGTGAAAGAAATCACTGTCCTGCACCAGAAGGCTTGTATTTCTACTGTTAAAGGTATGCAACGGACCAAGAAAAAAAGCCAAGTGAGGACAAAAGTTCTGGATGCTCTTGGCCAGCAGCTTCTAAAACATGGCTTGCAGTTGTCCAAATCATTCAAGCTGATTTGCTGCGTTATCTGCCAATATTTTTATAACTCTTGGAACTGTTTTGCTGAGAAACGTTTATTCAGTTTTCAAAATCACCAAGTCACTTAGGAGCAGTGAGATGAAGGCTCTCGAATGACTCTGTATTAAGAACAACAATTAAGATTTCTTGTATTAAAAAAAAAATACAGAAACTACTAGGTTCCTGGAAAAGTCTCTTATGCTACAAAGAAAGGTGAATGACGTTTGATCTGATTTTCTACCTAGAATCATGTTAGATAGTATGGCGTTTTGCTTCCCTTTCTTTCAGCTGTACGGGTTTTGCAGAGTAAAACTGGGTGGATAATTTTTAACTGCCGCTTTTTGATTACATTGCTCTTGCTTAAGCTAGCTGTTGATACAATGCCCGAAAGAAGGTAATACTCAAGATTTCTCACTCTCTCTACTTAATGCAGTTAGTATTGTTCTCCTCTGTTATTTCATTTTTCTTTGTCCGCTGCGTGCAGTGCAGATGTTTCTCCAATGATACTTAGTCACTGTTTTTAAAGCTGGGCTTAGCCCAGCTGTTCCCGTATGGCTACGGGCTCTTTAGCCCTTCCTGACACCTCACTCACACGGACAGCAGACCGGGTCACTGCTGGCCTTTACAAAGTTAAAGTTAAGAAATCACGCCACATAACTATTATTTTGGCACCCTTTTTGGGTTCTTCACGCGCGACATCAAGGACAAGCCTCCCCTCGTACCGACCTCCTTAAAAGCTTTAACTTACACCCCCCGCCCCAGCCTCCTACAGCTCCTCCTCTCCATTTGCAAAACCAAGCCCTTCTTTCAGCATCTGTGGCGGCCGGGCTGGATCCCGCCGGCGCGCACAGCAGCGTGAGAGGGAGACGTGCGGGCGATGTCCCCCGGGTCCCCGACAGTGCCTCTGGGCAGAGAGGGGGCAAAATACTCCATAGCAATAGCACTGCTGTGAACCACAGCTTGTCTCTCTCGGGGACACTGGCAACTTAAATATAATGGCAAAGCAGTCAGTCTTTGGAAGGAAAATCCATTTTTAAAAAGTTTTCTAAGTCATTTTTTGCCTTGCTTTTCTCCCTCGCCGCACTCGGGCTTTAACACTAAGGGGTGTCAGTGTCTGAGCTGACTGGGGGGCACGGGGAGAGGCGAAAAGCCCTGCACTGATTGAAAACTGAATCGTTGTCCTCGCTTCAGGTAAAAAGCAAGTGAAGCAGGAAATTGCTCTGTGTTTTCTTTAAGAGGGAAGCAGCTCTCATGTGGTTGTGCCGTAAGATAGGCAAAGATAGAGTTCAGTTTCATTAACTCATTTTGATTGACGAAACAGCTGCAGAAAATACATTCAGCATTTTTTGCAGGTCTAAAAAAATTTCTGGGCATCATCATTTGAGAAAGATATTACATATTTTTGGTGTGTCTCAGGAAGACACTCCTTAAACAAAAAAATACATTAACTAGCTCTTCTACTTAATCAGCATTTCAGCACGACACTAACTTTGCGGTTCAAAGATTTTGTTCCACATCCTCAGCAGTAAATGTCCACGGAAGGACTGAGCCTCACGTGCACGCCTGTGCACCGTCCCCACGCCTTGCCCCTCACAAGTCCATTTTACACGTATGAATTTGTCGCTAACCTGACTGTTTTCGGATGTCTTCCGTGATGATAGCCACGATCCAGCTCGCAATCTCCCAAGCTCAAGATGCACTAGGCCTTGGGCACACTTGGAAAAAAAACACAACGTACAGCGTTTAAGTAGACCTATAATATTTCACGCTCTCCTGGAGAGAATTATGTTTATATTCAGCACCACAGCTCCGTGAAGAAAACCACAAGGAATGCTCAAAACATTAACACTGGTATTTAGACAATACAAAGAGTACCCGACCCTGGATTGAGGTTTGTCCTGAAGATTTATGCTGGTTGTTGAAGTCAGTATGAATCTTCCTACTGGCAAACTGCAGAGGGCCAATTACTCAGTAAAAATAAACTAAAAGGCCCCAACTCTTTAATACGTGTTTGCCACAAACAATACTTAGGAAAAAACACTTCAGGGGAAAAATGCTGCAGAAAAGGGGTGAATTTAACACGTATGGATTCAACTTAAAAACATACCCTCATATCACTGGTTTCCAATTCTTAAACAGGTAAACTTTTGACAACCTGAATTCCACCCAACTGCAAAAAGCAAGGAAATAATTAGCCTTTCCCTTCAGGAACAAAAGAAATCCCATGCAGAAACACTAGTGCTGATGGCAGGGAAAAAGCCTTTGTCTCCAGATGCAGTTTTGAATAGAAATGGGTCTGCAGCATCGCTCCCACCCGTCCTTTCATCCTTGGCACAGGCTGTCGGGCCTGGGAGCCGTACGGCGGAGCTCACGTCACGCAGCCAGGCTGTCCCCTGCCCTCTCCTCTGACTCGAGCAGCCACGTGCTTTCTAGTGGAAAAAAGCAAATTCTCCTGGACTGCACAACTTCAGAGTATAACAGCACTCCTGTAAGATGGAAAGCTGTGCAGAAACGGATTTAAGCTGCCATTTTATAGCTGCAGGTTAGTGCAGCATTTGATTTCAGTTCTGATTTGTATGACTCTCAGGTTTCCAAATATTTTTCTAACCTATGAAATACACAGTTGCATTTTCAAATAAATGCCTAAATACTACATGTGTCTCTGTTTTCCCACTTCATATCGTCCCACTTCTAAATATACAAGGAGAAGTGATTTTAAGTTAATCTCCCAACGTCATTTCAGATGAAATTCCTGTCTTGGTAATCAGCTCGAGCTGTCCTGCATATGTGTAAACAGCACTTCAGGATAATTACCTTGCACAGTGTCAGTAACTGCAATTCAATATCTTAAAATGTATTATGTACTCACCTTAAGTATAGTGGCAACAGTCTCTTGTGAGGCATTTCTCATATCCTCTCCATTTACAGACAAAATCTGATCTCCTTGAATTAATCTTCCATCTAGGTCTGCAGCTCCTCCTTTAACAATGTCAGAGATAAACACTCCACTTCCATTTCTAACAATGCAAGAAGCATATGGCTAATTACACAATCCAATATTCTTTGGGAGAGCAATTTAGATTACTTGCATTTAAGAGACATTAAAAGAAACCTGTGAGCAGAGGAAGAACTAGTTTTACACCCCACTCAACCATTTGAGTGTAAAAAAATCTGTGAGTTTTAAAACCAAGGTATGTTTTGCTATATTTAATGCTGTCTTTCCCCTTGAACCATTAGTTCTGACTGTATGATCCATAAAGATTCATCAAAAATACCATTCGTATGAATAAAAAGCCAAGGATCAGTCTAAGATGGAGTTAAACGATCTCCTGATGTGCCTGACATGAATTATGCAGGCTCAGATTTTTTTGTTTTTCCTATATTCCCCCTAAAGGTTCAGCTCAGTTTCTTTTCTGGAAGCCTGGAGGCCCCCAACAGAAGAGCAGGGAGAAGTCTGCAGAAAAGACTTTTATAGTTTGCACATGAGTTATGCAGCAGAAAACCCAGCTTTGTGGCTGCCCGCCTGCAGCAAGCCACGCAGGCGGGGGGAACGTATTTATTTATCAGCTCCAGCATCCTCGCAGGGGAGTGCCCTCCGCAGGACCCCTCTGTGCCGGCCCCAGCTCCCGGGGCTCGCTACGGTGTGAGCCGGTGCCAGCTGCAATGCCAAGATCTGGCGTTTGGTATCCTTCACCCTGAAGGACACGCCGCTTCACGACCTGAATAAACCTCGCATATCATTTAATCGACTTCAGAAATTGGACTACCTCTAAGGTGGCAATCCCCACAAGCAAAGCACTTAGCAATGGTACAGAAAGTTTTGCACAGAAGCAAATGCGGGAGGGCTGGAGACTGCGATTACCATCTGTAGGGTAATTTACATAAGCTAAATTAATTACCCAACCCGCAATCTGCTCACAACACCTGGGTTAAACGTCGCCACTCTTGTAAAAAACCGCTGTGGAAACTTTACTGACCATACACAGTCAGGATAATGACACGATGATTTGTAATTGAGAAAATACATTTTTTGGCAATACAGAAAAGCAACCATATGTCTCTTGCGCACCAACGCTGAACGAGTGCTCACCAGTGTCATGCCGTAAATCTCTTCTAGCAATGAAAAATTAAATCTATCAGTGCTGTGGTTCAAATGCTCTAAATAGCAATGGTTTAGAAATATATCAGTAAAAAGTCACATTTTTTTAAGCAGCTGTTATCTACCACCGTATCTCAGATTCTGCTCTGTAGTCACAGAACTGCTGTCTACAGTCTCGTACAGTCACTTTGATACTGTTCAGGATCTCAGCTTCTTATCTTCCACTGGCATTGGTCCCTCTGAACCCATGTAGGAGCTAGATCTAACTCACAAATCCATTTTCAAAGGCATATCCTGGTATTTGGAAATAAGAAGGTTTCTCTCCCCATTTTGAAATCAGAAGAGCCACGGCTAGGGCTATCCAAGCCCTGAGACACAGCTACTCTGAACCATGAGCTCCCGGTTCTGCCCACACTCCCGCAGAGCAGGACACCCGCTCGGCACTGGGAGCCTTTGCTACACAGGTGGGTCGTCGTTCTGAGAGAGGAGCCAGGACCACAGCCCCACGGCATCCTTGAAGTTATTTAGATACAAAATTCTGTTCCTTACAGAGTTTTTCCTTTATTTCTTATTCCATTTAATGGCTAACAGTTGTTCATATAGCAAAAAGCAAAATATTTCTCCTCTGAAGTGCAGTCCGATCGGAGAGACGCTCTTACCGTTTTCCAGCTATGCTGAGCCCTAGTCCTCGGCCCGTTTTCTTTTGTATATCTACATAGAAAATCTCTAAGTTTTCTTCATCTTTGTAATGCGCTTCATCTCTATAAACAACCAACTGCACCTTCTGGGGCGTCTGTCTCAGCGCAGTGATAGCTTCTTCGTGGCTGGCATTCCGCAGATCGATCCCATTCACCTGAAATAATCAGTGTTTTCTTTCCAAATGACATGTATAAATGATCTTTTCATCACACCCTACCCTTGTGTGACAGGACAAATTTGTCACATTGACACCCCATGGCACTCTAATTTACTGCTCCCATTACCAGAGGGCTGAGCTCCTGGATCTCCTGCTGAGTGTGAGTTTGCTGCCTTGTGCCACTGCCTGGAGTAAATCACAATAATCAAAATATTTTGGCTTGTAAGTTTTGTGGGTGTTCCTCCTTGCTTTTTAAATGCTGGAACCTCAAACTGTGCTCTTTCTTATAACTAGGCAGTGTGGACCGTGCTCCTTTGAGCTTTCTGTATCTCTTACTGCTCAGATTCCTTCTCCCCCGGCTTTGCGACACCGCTGAGCTGACGACAGGAGGAATCGGAAACATCAGCAAAGCGCAATGGCGAAGCCCAGGCAGGACATATTAAATGGTTATTTTGCTTTGTTCCAATAGATGGCACACAAGACCGCTCCTGGAGCGCTCAATTACATTTCTCTTACGATAACCTGAAAATGTTTTAGCATTTTAGTAATATCAGATAGAACAAGAAGTTCTGATTGAATGCTGAAATATTAAAAAAAACCCAAACCAGCTGCAACGTGAAACTTTGCCTCCTAATTGTGCCAAGCCTGATCCATAATGCCCTTTAAGATGTTTGCCAACATTCTGTTGACAAAATCATCTTTTATTTGTCAACACAAAAGAATATCAATGCTTAAATATTTTTGAAGTCTCTTTTGGAAGTAGCATCAACTGTAACTGAATAAGAATACAATGTTAATCCACTTACATAACGTCATAAGTTTTAAGGCAATGGGAATGTTTCTCAGTATTTCTTGATATGCAAAGTTATAATGATACTTAATTTTACTTTAAGATAATTAAGCCTAATATACAGTAATTATTTTCTTTTGTACTAATTCTGCACACATTTATTTATATACCGCTTCGATATCCTTTTCTCTACACAGGCATCTAGGCGTGCTTTATCATACCAATCTGAAACTAGCTCAGAGTCATCTTTTTGATTCATTAGTACGTCTTTTAAAAGCTGAAATAATAACAATATTATGGCACACAAACATTAGCACTTTCCTGTTTGGCCAGAGAAGAATTAATTAACCTTCCCCATTTTTATCCCCTAATTATTGTGCTCTGTTAATACAGTTATTTATAAAACGAAAACAACATTCAGCCTTAACGCTAAAAAAAATATTTTCAGTGCAAGAGCTGTAAAGACAACTCCCCAAGTACCCCTCGCTATTTTTCTAACCCTACACACCAAAGCCTTAATGGCCATGCTGGGAATTTGTCCCGATCTGACAGCGAGAGGCTGCACGCAGCTGCGCCGAACCCCTGCCTGACGCAAGTTTCATTTGCAGACCAACACTTCTTTATTAACCCTTTCCCTCCTCGATTTCCGCGCTCGTCTGCGGGGAAAAAAAAAACCCGCTACGTTTATTCACAGAAGTAATTCCGTGCGTTCGCCAGTTTTCCGCACCGTGGCCTGGGGGAGCCGGCACCC